AACTTGAACATTTATAGTTCGAGGCAATGTTGTCTCAAACATTTTGAATTGATTCCACCAACAATGCAACCAGGAGTGTTACAATGTTTCGTGCAGCACTCCCTATTGCATTGCCATATCCAAGCTCATTGTCCCCTTGTTACTTCAGCTCTTTAGCGACATTATTTTCTTAGTCAATCACTCCACTGTGACTCCAATATGTCATTCCTCTAATCTCATAGCGTCGTCCAACGCTAAACTTTTTTTCCACCTCTAAAGACTTGAAACCTTGATAACACTTTGTTCTTACTACTGCAAAGGTAATCGCAACTTCACTAGCAAAGGAGAAACCTCCCCCCTCTCATTCAGTGGCTCACAAGTTCGGCTTGCATTTCTATTGAATATGTAGTCTACTAGAAACACCACCTTTTGTTGTGTTTTAAGGCTTATCAATTTTTCATTGGATATGCTTCTATGCTTTTTTTTTTCACTTCAATTCCTCCCCCTCTAGATATTTTTATGTTATTCTAATTTTTGTAAGATGGTACCAAGGCATGCAATGCTTTATGATGCAAAATGTTAGTCATTAAAAGAGAAACATAATATTAAGTTGAGTGTTGCAGAGATGAGGATGCTCACGTGGATGAGAGGCTTTACTCTAAGAGACAGGATACGAAATAAGCATACACGTGAAAAGGTTGGAGTAGATCCAGTGGAAGATAAGATCAGAGAGAGTCGCCTTAGATGATTTGATCACATAAAACGGCAGCCTTCCTTAGGAAAGTAGATGTATTAAATCTGACTTATGTTAAGAAAGGTAGATGTAAGCCTAAAAAGACTTGGCTAAAAAATATTAAAAATAACCTTTCTTTATTAGATTTAGACGAGAATTTAACTCTTAACAAGACACAATGTAGAAAAAGGATTCATGTAGCCAATCCCACATAGTGGGAAAAAGGTTTGTTGTTGTTTAATTTATGTAAGAACAAAAAAAAAATTTGTCAAATTTTTAGTGATTCTTAATAAAAATATTGGTGACTTGAAGATGCTTGAAGTTTAAAAGCACATGATTCCTCTCCTTTTTCATTCTCATTTGCATGTGCCACCCATGTCAAACCTTACCATAGATCTAAAAGAGGAACTTAATAAGCATCTTCCTAGCATAAAAAAACAAGAATCACTCACATACACCGGTTTATCAATCTGTGAGTCAAAAGTCTCATACTCTAAGGACCAATTCCTCCACCTTATTGCTAGGGTTGTACAATCCAAAAATAACTTACCCATTTTACTCATAATAAGAGCCAAATGTCTAATGATAAATGAGCTTCTATTCGTATTAATTTCCAATACACCAATAACAATGCACCCCAACACCACCTCCTAAAAAAATGTGCTCCACCAAAACAATGCCTACCACCATCTGACATTTTGGATGACCATAATGTAAATTTACACATGCATCGAACCATATCCAAAGGACAATCTTTATGCGTGAGAACATTTCTATCATCCTAATGCTCCAAAAAGTCATTATATCCTCATCGATATCATAGTAATGATGAGTAAAACATTCACAACTGTATAATCACCCACCTCAAAATGAGAAGGATTTTTCTCATTATTATCGAATACCAAGCTTAGCTATCAAAATGATCACATAGACAATCCCACCTCTAAGATCACATGTTAAACTATCACTTCTCCAACAACATTCATGATATAAATGCTTTCATTAGTTGGCTGGCTCAAATTGAAGAAACCTACAACTAGTATCACATGACTAACAAAAAGCAGAGCAAACCCTTCTCTATGAAACTAAGAGAACATGATAAACACTCCTGGATAATAGTCAAAAATTAACTTGATCGCACATGCACACCACCATTGGCACATGGATTTCCATGTGTCATCTCCATCAAAAATATATTCCCCAATATCATAGACAATAGCTTGTTGTCTGGTTGAACAATCTTCAGTAATATTTTTTGTTTGGCACTAATCAACTAATTAAATTTGAAAACTTTTTCACTCATTATCTTCTCAACGAACATAATTGGATGATCATGAATAAATTCATTTAGAGCATTCATATAAAGTGGCATCAGTACAAACCCAACACCCATGTATCATTGCGCACTTTAAGTAAAAACATGCCAAAAGTGTAAGAAATTAATGAGTAAATCTATCTTAGGCAATCTACCATAACTATGCACATATAGTGCCTCCCTTCCTGTGGGTCCTAGACATAATCATCTCCCTGCACCTTAGAAATCAACCATTGTTGGTTTGATCACAACAAGAGAAAACTCGTCTAAACCTCCTATCACACAAAAACAACAAACACAAGAAAAATTCTTTACTTGCTTGAAAACCAAGAAACTTGTCCCCTTAGTGTCCCAATTACACACTCATTCTTAGCACTACAAAACCAAAGATTGAGCACAATAACACTCGATGAAGCTTTGAAAGATCATGATCCCTATTCAGGTGATGACGTAAACTGCTCGGAAGAATTTGAGAAAGAGATGATCATGTGTTGCATTTTCACACCCTCTATTGTTGTGGAAGATTGATAGCATACATATCTTTCATATATGTCATTTTTCCCTAATTTTGAATAACCAATGTGCCCAAAAAATAATATCTAAACATAAAACATGCACTTTTCAACATAAAATGGCTAAATCACATGTTCTTCATCTCCTTGGCTTTTCTAAAGTATACAAGATAGCATGTGATGCCTCTAGAGTTGGCATTGACAATGTCCTGAGCCAAGAAGGATATATCATAACCTATTTAGTGAAAAACATAATGAGTTTAAACAATGTTATTCTACTTATGATCATGAGTCATGCATAATCATACTAGCCTTGCGATATCGGCACTATCTTTTACCTCACAAGTTTTCTCTTCATTGTAACCATGATTCTGCAAAGTACTTGCACTCACAAATAAAATTGAACTCTTGCCATGCTACATGGGTTGCATATTTTTAGGAATATTGTTTCATCCATAGGCATCAAATTAGAGTCATTAATAAGGCTACCAATACACTTAGCTGCATCCAATATCTCCTAATTATATATTGCATTGCCTATGTTTTTCTAACTAAAAAGAAATCAATTCTTTTGCCATTAGTTTTAATAACATTTACACTTCACTTACCGATAATAATCATCTCACTTATCAAACATTTACACTTCTTGATAACTTCGTTTTAAAATGGCCATGCCTTTGTGCTCCTCATGCATCCCTGAGAAACTTTTCATTTGGGAATTACATGCAAGTAATCTAGTCAAATACGTTGAATGTGACAAGACGATAAGATCTTGTCAATAATCATTTGTATTAGCCCTCAATTAATCAAGATGTTGCTTGCTTAATCATTCAATGATGGACTTAACAATTTAAAATGATGACCAAATAACCCAATAAACCATAAACACCATTGCACATCCCTAATTTTCCTTGGCAATGTATGAATAGAAACTTCAATTTTGGTTTGTCAAGGATTGCCGCAAATATAACTCCTATCGCTATTGTAGCAAACAAATTCTGTAAGATGGTCCACTTTTTGCCCTACTACAAGGTTATTAAACACTCCACACATATCTCCTTTATTCATTGGTAACATTGCTCACCTCCATGGATTTAATTGATGCTATTTTATTTTTATTTTTTAAAACTTTTGCACACTTTATGAAAGTTCTTTGGCCCTATCTTAAAATTTTCATCTACTTTCCTTCCACAAAAGAGTGGCTTAATGAAAATGGCCAACCACAATATGAAATCCTTTACGCTTCCTTGTAAGCAAAAAATTAGGTAAAATAGATTTAATACCTCTTACTAAAAATTTTGTCTATAGCAGTGCTTCAAATAGAACTACCGATAAGTTTCTCATTGAATTTTTTACAATTAAAAATTTTGCATCCTCACTAATCTCATCCCATTGTTTATCACTCCTATTCTTTTTTTCTCTACCACTAAAGTTGTTTAGCATAGGGGAAAAAATCATACTTCACAAACTAAAAAGTATAAGTTAGTTGCAAATGCTCCACAAAATTTTCTTAAATTTCTTGAATGAGACTATGTTTTGGTTCATATTACATTAGAACTATTTCTTACCAATTACTTTATGAAACTCATTTTTGTATCTTCTGAATCCTTTAAAATCTCAACGGAAATAGGAAACATAGCTAAGTTAATTAATTTTACACAATAATATCATATTAATCTTGTTTTTAATATCAAAGATCTAATATCCTATAGACAACACTACCTCCGTATTCATTGACAAGGCCTTCAACCATTTCTATTGACGGGCTGCCTTGTTGAGCATCCTCCAAATGAGAGTTCTTCTAAGGGAAGATGATGCTGAGCACCATCATCATATAGAGCCATATCATATCTAAACATTATCAAAATCTTCTATGAACTATTGATTGATTTAAGAGCATATTTTATTTAGTGAATTCTTTCCTAATTTAGTTATCAACACAAAAAATCTCAGATAACATAGTTTTTCCCTAGATTAATTTCCTTCTTTGTATTTCCTTTAGTGTCTAACAAAATCTCTTACAAATATAATAATGTTCATGCACTTAAAGGTGTTGTATGAATATTAAAAAAAAAAAGCCCACTAATCAATTTCTCTCTCACTTTCCTCTCATTCTTGAGAGCATAAGAAAAATCTTAGACTTTCGTATTTCTCAAATAAACACCTCCTTTTGGTAATTTCAAAATGTTTTTTTTTTATGACCACAAACAATTTCCAAAAAACTATTTTTATCATTTCAAAATCAATGACAGCTAAATTTCCTAAGATATATCCTAGTTCAGTTCAAAACAAAAATTATATGAGCATGGAAACCATTTGCAACGGGCATCTAAAACCACCTAGTTTGTCATTAAATTATTGAAAGAATAAAATAAACCAAAAGATGAAGAATGATCCAAGAAAAATAAAGTCATGAAGGATCAAGATTATAGTTTCAGAGAAAACAGTTTTTTTTTTAAACCTTCTTAGGAAGGAGAAGAAATTAAACCTCTGATCATATCTGGATTGATTTGTTTCTCTCTTTGACATCCCAGCAGGGAAGAACAAGAGCTGAATCTGTCTCCGTCGAGCAGCATTTCGGAGCATAAAAAGCTTAGTTGGCAGCTTAAAGCCAAAATAGCAACGAAATCCACTAATCATTCTCCTAGCAGACTCTGCCACCCTCTTAGTTTCTTCGAGAAACCTGTAGTCTTCACTCGCACACAAGCAATTAAAATCACAGAGCATTTCAATATTGATACACAAACCGCAAAATTCCACTAAAAAATGCTCACATTCTAATTATTTTAGCATTAAAGAGCTTCACATCTATATAAAATAACAGCTTTCGACGACCAATGATTTTGCATCAATTCCAACCGATATGATTTTGAACTGGAAAATATAGCACTATAACCATTAGCTTTGTGGAGCGTAATGGATATATAGTTCACCATATTATGAGAATTAACCAAGTCCCTGATCACTCCAAACACGCTTCACAAATAAATGAGAAACATGAAACAGGGATGGCATAAATTGAGAGAACTTTGAATCGAAGAGTTAGTAAAACAATCCCAATAACTTCACGCTAAATAGCAGTGAGGACGAGGCAAACGGACCTGCGAGGAGGAGGTTGTCGTCGAACTGCGAAAGCGGCACATGTTCAGTGAGCCTGCGTTTGCCAGTACAACTGGTGCGCTTCTTGTGCGAGTTCACGCAGGGAAGGCTGCATGAGCGGATCGAGCATCCAGGGCATCGATACTTCCAGGGGTTCGATCCACACTCATCGCAACGAGAAGGATTCCTGAGGTTAGGGCTACTGTTTGCAGAGGATTCTTCTTCCATGAGAAGATATTGGAGAAGGGATAGCTTTCTACTTGGAGTTTGCAGGGCACTTTGAGTTTGTTCGGTTTCCAAGTTTTCAACTTTTTAGGATATAGAGAAGGAACGATGGCTAGCGGTGGAGGTAACCGGGGGATTAAGAGCATACGTGGTTTCTCGCTTTCAAACTATGGCTGCCGGAAGGCGGCAAAAACGTGGAGGCTAAGGGTCAGCCACACCAAAGAATTAGGGCGTTGAGCTTTTTATTCAAGGCTTTCGCTTGGTGACCCGAATTCTCGGCCACGTTGCATTTAAATCGGGCTACGGACCTACGGCGGCCGTTAAATATTATTTCCGAAATCATTATTTAGTACAACAACAACAACAACAACATCAAGCCTTTATCCCACTACGTGGGGTCGGCTACATGAATCCTTTGCATATATATATATATATATATATATATCCTGCAACTTTTTTTTTTTTTTTTGGGGAAATTTAGGGGCATAGCCCTTTTCATTGCTTAAAAGAAATTACATGTAAGAAACTGAAAACTGTAATCCATAATCACCACAATACTGGATTATGGATTCTAAAGAAAGCAAAATACAATGTAAAATTAAAACAGTAGAACACTGAGGCGGAAAAAGCCTCAAAGGACTCAGATTGCTCTTTGTTGTCGGTAAGGGTCATTTTCTCGAATGGGCCAAAATAAGATCAAAGCCCCTGGTTGCCAAGTCGACCATCCAAGGGGCAACTGATAAGAATCAGCGATCATCATCGTCCTTTCAAAAATAGACATCCATGCCACCTGGCAGTCCAGCAAAATCTGCAGGTTCCCCAAAATTTTCATTACATACTCATCACGACAGGCATAAACCAGATTCTTCAAGGCATAGCCTAGAACCAGAACTTCCAGAGAATCAAACATTGTGCCAGCCATTGGTGTTAAGAGAGACAGCTTTTCTAATTTTTGTGATAACTGTGATTTGACTGTCGACAATACCACCAAAAATTCGATCATTTCTAGCTCTCCATAAGAAGTAGATGATAGCAGAGGAAGTGAGAAGATGATAATTTCTGCTATGGGCTAAAGACCTTTGCTCAAAAATAGAATTGTATAGCTGATGCAGGTTGGGCCTCATAAGAAGAACGTTCAGCCAAGGTAAAAAATATTTAGCAATAGCAAAAGTGAAACTGCACTCAAAAAAGAGATGAGAAATGGTTTCAGTATCATCGTGACAGAAACAACACTTGGCAGCAGTGTTAATACCTCTCTTGGCCAGAAATTCAGAAGTTTTTAATCCATCTTTAAAAGCAAGCCAGACATATACCGAGTATCTAAGGGCATGATGCTTGTGCCAGACATACTTGTACCAGGGAACCTTGCTCCAATTACAATAGAACTGTTTATATAAATCAACAAACACTGGGTTTTGTTTGCCAACCCAAAAATGATTTTCCGCCAGAGAACTGATGGGAACAGCCTTAATAATAAAGGAGATATGACTTTCAAAAAACTGAGGAAGGTTCCAATTATCCCTAAGAATAATATTAGAAACTTTCCAGCTAAAGTAACTGGAATAGTTGGTAATAGAGTTAGAGGCCTTCAGGTAATCAGCAATGGAATTCCCCCCACACCAAGGGTCCCAGATAACAGAGAGGTTGCTACTTGGGGTTATAGAGAAAGAAATGCAGTTTCTTATGCAGCTTGCTTTCTTACACAGAAGATCCCAATAAGGAGCCTTATTAGCCGAAGTAAAGTTCCAAAGTGAGTAGTATTTTGCTCTCCACCAATAGAAAAGGAGGCTGTTAGAATTAAGAAACCTCCAAATGATAGAGCAAGCATAATTATGGTATAGATAATCAATAGACGGGATACCCAAGCCGTCATTCTGTTTTGGGGTACAGGTGTTTTTCCAAGACACAGTAAAAAGTTTTTTCTGATTGATATTACCAAAAAAAGTGAAACGAGAACACATGTGGTTGATCTTCTTAGAAACACCTTTATGCATTATAGAGCCTCGAATACAGTAAGCAATAGTGTTACAAATTGTGAATTTGATATATTGTATTCTGCCCACAAAAGACAAAGTTTTTGCTCTCCACCCCTCTAAATGATTAGAGATTTTTTCCAACAGGGGCTGGGAAGTCTTTAAGTTTTAGTTTCTTGTAAAATATGGGCAATCCCAAATATTTTATGGGATTATGAGATTGTTGAACATTGAGTATAATACAGATTTCCACATCCAGAGGGCTGTTTTTGGATAGCAAAATAGAGCTTTTTTGAGGATTAACCTTTAGACCAGTAACCGAAGCAAAGTCCTTAAGGATGGAATTGAGTGTGTTAGCATTGGCTGTGGTAGCATAACCAAAAACAAGTAGGTCATCAGCAAACATGAGATGGGTAACTTCACAGTTATCAGCTGAAATACCATCAAAAGATTTGTTAGCCACAGCCAAATCAAAACTAGTAGAAAGACCATCCATGATAATGCTAAAGAGGTAGGGAGAGAGCGGACATCCCTTCCTAATACCAGTAGTAGATTTCATTAACCAACAGGAGTGGAGAGTGATCGAAGTAGTCGGGATCACCAACTTTGTAGAAAGAGTTGGGATCACCAACTATCGTTGATCATGACCCTGTCTAATTTGATGTGGATTGGGTTGAGGTGTTGTTGATTGTGCCAGGTAAAGAAGTGACCAACATAGGACAAATCTTGCAAACCAGAGTTGAATATCATACGGTTAAAATCACCTAGTCTGGGACTAGTAAGAGCACAGCCACCCGCTTTTTCTTCCGCCGTCCAGCAACAATTAAAATCCCCAAGAATGGCCCAAGGGGAGTTAATAGTATCAGCAATAGCTAGTAAATTGTTCCACAAAATTTGTCTTTCCACATAAGAATTGCTTGCATAAACAAAAGTAATAGCACAAATAAAAGTAGAGTTAACTTTTATAATGCCATGAATAAATTGATTGGACATGGTGAGAGGGGTGAAATTTATAGTGTCAGCATTCCATTTTAACCAAATGTGGCCTGGGTTGGAGTGGTTGAAGTTATCACAAGAGGCTTTTTTAGGAAAAACTTTGTGGTTGGATTGAAACCAATGATTAGAGAAGCTAGAGGGAGTAATCTTAGCTTCAAGTATACAGAGGAGGTCAAGGTTGTGGGTTTGGGCAAGTTTTTTGCAGCATAATACTTTGTCCGGGTTATTAAACCCACGGATATTCCAGGCTGCAATGTTAGGGAGGGACATTAGGACTTTGACTTGGGGGTAGAGGCTTTCTTTGCTTGCTTGCCTCTTGTTTGTTTTTGGCTTTGGGTGTTTGGCTGCTGGGCTTTGGTAGTGAGGGATGAAGAGGAGGAGGTCTCTGTGGAGGGGTTGGGAATGTTGGGCTGAAAGTTGCGGGGAGAGGTCTATGGGGACTACTGAGATTTGGGTTATTGATGGCTGTAGTTTGTAAAGGGGGATTGTATATGGGGTTGTTGTATGGGTAAATGTCATCTCCATTTTCATGGTCACATAAGGTTTGGAATTTGTTCTTGGTGTTTAGTAGGGGAATCTCTTATGTTTGAGGGGTGGTATCCGAAATCTCCAGATGTCACCTGAGGGGGAATTCAGGTTTGGAAGGAGGGTACCAAGGCTAGGTTGTTGCGGCAAGAGTAATATGGTTGGTAGGGTAATAGAAGGGTTATTTTGAATAAACTTGTGAGGTGCTGGCTTAGGAATGTTTAGTCTGGGTGGGGGGGAGGGTCGCGCTTTGCGACTGGAACTTCTACCTCTCGGTTTTATGGTTGTAGGAGGCTTCAATATTGGGTCTTTGGGACAAAGAGTGGGGGGTGCATTATAGATCCACACTGACTGTATTTTTCAGGCTTCCAATCGTATTGCACTCTTAAAGGAGTATATTTACCGTCTACACTGTAGTAAATTTCTTCAGGGAGAGGGGAATTACTGGTGACTTGGACACAGATTCGCGCAAAGGTGAGGCAAGTTTTAGCCGCAGTAAGAGCGTCAACAGCAATAGGAATACATATACAACTTGCAAGTTTAGAGATACCTTCGGGGGTCCAGAGAAATAGCGGCAAGTTCAGAATTTTTATCCATAAAGGAATGGAAGGGAACTCCTCACGTTTAGGCACGAAATCAGGCTTCCATTTCTGCAAGATGAAAGGCTTCCCGAAAAAAAACCATGGTCGTTGAGATATTTTGCTCTGCTAGGGTTTGGAGGTTTTTTGCCCTAACCTGCCTCTCCGGCCAGGGGGGTCTCACCCCATGGCTGTAGACGAGTTCCCGCCTCTCCCTTCCTCCTCCACTGCTACAAATGTCGTTCTTCCCCTTTGGAAGAACCTACTCACCACCACCCCGCAAGTGTCCACAACTTTTTCTCACTCCCACTCATTTGTTCCCGCGCAAAACTTGACAGCACAGTTCACCAGCGAGCAATTTGTAGCTGGAGCACTTGAATCGTCACTTTCTCTTGTCGGCTACTCGATCGGAAGGAGGCCATTTTACGAAGCTTTACTTTCGGTGATCAAGAAGACCTGGTCACTCAAAGGTTCCCTTTCTCTCTTAACCATGGATGATGGTTTTTTTCTGCTCAAGTTCACTGCTATTGAAGATTACGAGCTTGCTTGGACCGGATAACCTGCAACTTTAATATTACAGTATTAATATTTATATAAAATTTTGCTATCAAATCTATCACTCATATATTTCATTCTTACTACTCATACCACCTTATAAACTTTAATATTTCATTCAATCTCCTATATCTATTCTATGAGTGATAGAAATGTAATATTAAAGTTTTAGGTATTAGATTCATAAATAACATAAAATAAATGGTATGTATGTAAATATCCCATTATTTTATAAATTAGGTTTGCTTGCACTGTAGACTTGTTTATGTGATGATTTGTGTGCTTATGACGCATATGCTATGGTGTTGATGTAAATCAATCAATGTTGTGCTAATTAATTAATTGCTCTCACATCTAATATCATTTTATAATCATCATAAGATTATTTATATTTAGATGCATAGTGTAACTTTGTGTTAGCGAAATTAGTTTGCAATTATTGAAGTTGAGTTTAACAATAATGTTGTGTTTGATAGTAAATCACTTGCTCAGTCTAATCATTCGTGTACACCATGGGTCTATAGCTATTATTAGTAATGCCATTTGTAGGATTGAAATTTTACCCACCTATAGATGTTGCAATGGCTTTGAGAGGATTTCATCTTTAAAAATTTCTCGATGAATTGCATGCAAATCAAAGTGCCCCGTAATGAATTAAAGGTAGATTCAAACTCCTCTTAGTAATAAGAGTTTGAGGATGTTCTCAATAGGCATAACGCTTTTGTAGGGGATCAACAAAACAACCTATATAGGGACAAACTAATTTAATTTAGCTAGATCAAGATCTAAAATTACTCACAATGTACTATTTTTATCTTATTGGATTCCTCTCATATAAACCCAAATTTATTGATCAGAAATTTACTAAAAATAAAAATTTGGCTTAGGATATCCAACAATTTTGAGATTAATCTTGACCAAAATTTAATGAGATATTCTAAACTAAAATTTTTCCTATAACTAATATTCATATGACCTACCAAAACACTTTTAGAATTTTAAAATTCATTTTTTACTATTTTCAAATTCATTAATTTACATAAAATTCTCCCTTGATAGGATAAATTTTAAAAGCAATATCATATAGCTTTAAATGTCACAAATTAACAATTTTTCTTAATATCATATAGCTTAATATCCAATATTGTGTGACAAATAGGAGAAACAACAAGAATTTGCAAAAGAAAATATATACAATTCAATAATTTTCAATTGTAATAATGCCATCAAATATATTAGAAGAATATATTTATATATTATCATATTAAAACTTGGGATAATTAATTGGATTATTCGAAAATAACTTAAGAGCTTCCCATTTATGCCAATTGAAAATGGTTTAATAGTTATGCAACCAATAACCCAATTCACAAAGTAAAATAAAAGCCCATAAGCAACTCATTTTTGTAAAGAATGTCTTGTTTAACACTATTGACATCCTCCTTAAAATTATTTTTTGCAAATAAATATTTAGGTAAATTAGTAGAATTAAAATGTCTTGGAAGCTCACTGGCAATGGTTATATTGTCAACAATATCTCTCTCATTAATTAAAATTGATCAATAATTATTAGTTAGCTTGAAGAGAATACGTTTACTTACTGACCAATCTCCTTGTAAAGGATACTACAAAGTGAGATAGACCTCTAATTATTTAAAGAATTAGTATGTAAGCTTTTAAGAATCAAAGTGATGACAGACTGCTTAATGTGACTGAAAAATTTAGAGGTAAGTAAGAAGTAATGAACAACCTCTAAAATGGAAGTCATAATAAGGTCACAAGCATCAATAAAAAAGTTGAGTTGAATCCATCCGACCAAAAAATATATATTTTCCATTAGAAAATAATGAAGCTTTGATTTTATAACCCGAGAAGGCATCAACAAGATAATTTTGATAAATAATAGAGGATCCTATAATTGTAATTAACAATAGTTCTAAAATGAGATATAGCCTCATGAACAATATCCCTCCGCCTACAAAATATGCCAAATGGGGTGGGAATCTCCTTAGTTTGATTGCATTTTCTTTTCTATATTTTTATTTTATTTTATTTTATTTTTGCAAGGAAATTTAATGTCACATTCACCATTAGTAGTTTAAGAATATTTAGCACATTGTTTGACCCTTTCATTTTCATATTTAGTTGCTTTAAAAAGAGAATTTCTAGTTTCAAGAGCTTTGAGAAGTATAGTAGTGTCAAGAGGTGGTTGTTTTTCCAAGGGGAAAAAAAATATTATGTTGCTCATTATTGATATCAATAATGGATTTAGAGATATGATTAAAAGAGCTCTAATGAATGCCTTTTAGGGAGTTTTAGCATTTTGGAGTATATTGCAAAAGGCAAAAAGAAGATCAACTGATATTTGGAATTCACCAAGCTGTGGCAATAATATCAAAAAACTGGGATAGCAACTCCAATAATTAACGATATTTTCTACAGTGCAGATCGGCCTGGACGATCTCACTATCGTCCCGGCCGATCATGGGAAAAATTCACTTTTCCCAGCAGCTACAGCTACAGCAAAGGAACGAGGTCTCACAATACTGCCCACACAAATGTAAATAAGACATGGATAAATTTGTTGCTAAGAACTATTGCAAAAAAACTTTGCTCAAAAGATAACAAATGGGTTATCTAATTAGACACATCGAAGCTTAGGGTGGTTGGTGGGCGAGCACGGTTTGGAACCCTCTATCCCGAGTTCGAATCTCCTCTACTACGGCCTCGCCTCTTTACTTGGGCAAAGCATGTGTGGACTCGATGCTGGTGGGTGGCCTCATTAGATTTCATCGAGGGATTAGTTACGCCGCCAAGCTCTCCCTTTAGAGTGATAGCGAGTAGATACATTTGTTCCCAAAAAAAAGTTATTTAATTAGTGATTGGACTTGGTCTAAGATAAATCAATATTGGGAACTGGACCAACATTAAGAGTATATGAATTAGGCTTGGTTTGGGACGGCTTTCTTATTGTTTCTTAAAGCAGCTTTTAAGTATAAATTTTTTTATTTTTGTGCTAAAAAGCTCCTTTAAGAAACAATAAGAAAACCGTCTTGAACGATGCCTTAAGGTCTACTAATTTATAAGGAAGTGATGATTTTCCATCAATTACTTCTTCAACAAAACTATTGTAATTGAAGTTTCCAATAATCAATCATGGGTTAGCAATTGGACCACATTGATAATAAAAATTCCATTAGTTTTGTTGAAGAAGTAATTGATATAAAGGAAAATGTGCATGTATGATATTAAGTCAAAAGTAGTGGTTAAAAGCTATCTCAAACAAAGCTTAAACCTGAATGGAATATCTCTATGAAAGCTAAATCTCATTTCTACTCACGTTTCATCTTTTATTTCCATCTCTCCATATTTGTAAAGTTACAAATCTTTTTAAGAGCATTTTTTTTAAAATTTATTACTTTGTATTTTTAATCGTTTATTGTTCATTTGAATATTTTGTGCCTGCATGTCTAAATTGTATACATATATTAAATGCTATAACATTGTGACAGTGGACTGAGAATTCTTTACGTTAATATTACATAATTTTTTTCACACATAGAGATGAAATGGGTTAATAAAATGTGAAAATTTACATAAAATTTCAAAAAGAGAAAAATCATATAGGGCTTAATATATTTAAAATAATGTATTACATAAGCTGAAGATTACAAAAGTTTGAACTAATAATTGGGTCTCTTAATTATGAGAGTAGTGGAAAATAATAGAGGATCAATCAAAGATGATGGGTGTTGGTGTAGGTTGATGGCCAGTCAAGTGGCTGTGAACATCGTCTTTAAATGCGGAAGATGCCAACATTTAATGGATTGTGGAGACATATATAGTTAGTTGATTTATAGTGATGACAATAAGGTAATGACGAATGCCAATGATTGTCGATGCAGAACAATGATGACCGAGCGACATTGCTTGTGGATGGTGATTACCAATGTTGATAAGCATGCAAAATTTTAGGATTCTTCAAGCTCAAGAACACTCCCACTCAAGAGAGAAATTATTTGGTGATGAGTCTGGATGTAGCTCTGTGTTCGACTCCAATTACAACTTGACAAGTGGAGGAGCAAGTGGATAATCTATTGGATGTCATTTATTATTTGTCTTCTTAGCAGCCGACCTTCATGTCTTGTCAACACGTTCGACCTGACCTAGCCCAACCCCAAAAATTTGAATTTGAAAGCATGAGTTCAAAAGACTCGAAAGCTAGATCATTTTAATTTTCACAGAGCATTTTTTCATTGCGCTTTCTCTCTCTCATTTGGTCCAAACACTATTCTTCCAATCCTTTAACATTTCAGGAGATCACATTCCAGACGTTGCAAAAGTTCGTATCCTTCAGAAATAGGCATAACTTGCCACACCATTGATGTGCTTTCATGGCATCAGTTCTTCTCTCTCTCTCTCTCTCTCTCTCTCTCTCTTAAGTTTTCAAAACTAGGTTGCAAAGCTCATCCAAAGAGCTAACAGCGTAGAAAAAGTGCAGCAAAGCGCATCCAAAGAGCAGATAAAACACATCCAAATCATAGCCAAAGCACGTTTACTGCGCTTTTTTGCTCAGGATGTTCTTTCCCACGCTTTGGCTCTCCAAAGCTCAGTGAAGTGCAGTGAAATCTTATTTAAATCGCAGCAAAAGCACAGTAGCAAATGCACAGTTGTAATCCGAAGAAAAATCGCAGTGAAAAATCGTTAGCAAAAGCGCAGTGAAAAAAACTTGAAAGCGCATCAAGAGCATAGTTGCAATCAATAGTGAAAGCGCAACAAGTGCTCTTGTATGCCCTTGTACTAAGCATTGATGTGTTTTTTTTTTATGCAGCTTTGTTTTAGCACTTTGGAAAATTATAAAGCTTCGAAAATCCATAAAAACAACTTGGGATGAGGTATAAATTTACCAATAAGTTGATTAAGTTGAAACCCTCAACAGTTCTAACCACATTAACTTCTGATTCCTGAATGTTTCCTTACCTCCTTCATCCTCGGTGTCTTGTGAGTATTTTATTTCAGCTAATACAGAGTAACATCGTTCCCTTTTTTTTTCAGAGTAGGTATAAAAAAGCCTAAATATTTGGATTTTAGACGTTTCATGATTTTTTCTTAAAATGGAGCGCCAACCCTAATCCCCTTTAAAAAAAAAAATTATAAAACTGTGAGTTGGGTTGGGTCGTTCGGGCTGAAAATACATAAATAAAAAGGTAATCCAATTAAAATATCGGTGTGTCTCCTCTACGTGTCAAGTTTTAATTAGACTCCGGACATAGAGCTATTTCTGGACTCCGCACCAAATAATTTCTCAACTCAAGATCCCATTCAAGCATGAATGTTAGTCTATTTATATATATGAACTTTTAAATATTAAGAGTAAAATGTCAAAAAAATTGAATCAAATTAAAATTGATTGAAATAATAAATTTAAAATTAATATTTTATTATTTAATTTAAAATTTTTAATCACAAATATAAACAATTTAACTCTAAAAATTGATAAATTTAAATCAATCAAAATCAAATTACGATCACAAATGAGTCCTTAGACCTTTCTCTTTTTATAAAATAATGAAAATTTACGGAATATATTTTAAGAGAGGAAATTTAGGTCTAAACATTCACATTCAAATTTCCTGAAAGTAAATTTAATAATTATTAAATTTATATAAGAATAAATAAACTATACATTTTATTATATATATAAACTATACATTTTATTATTAAATTTATATAAAAATAAAACTAAACATTTTTATAATTATAAAATTTTTGGGTGAGATATTTCACCTTAAACTGTTCAATCTCAAGAGCCAGCTTTATCACTAGATCTTGATATATATATTTTTTAATTTTAAGTCAATTAAGAAAAAATTATACACATCTCATACATATTATTTTTTAAAATAAAAGCATTGTTAAATTATGACTTTTTCCTTTAATCATTTTTTTGTAGCTATGATTTTTATATATAAATAAATTATATTTAATATGATACATCACCAAGAAATGATCCTAATCGGGCACAAATCTTGATGAAATCAGAGCAGGAAGATTAAAAATTTATATTCGAGATCATTTGAACTCTGATTTCATCAAACTTGCAGTCAAATTGAACATCCCATAGAGACAAACCCGACGACACAAAATTCAGCAAATCGAGCTTAATTAAGGGACCAAAGCGTATTTGGATGCTTCAGAGCATCAATTGAAATAATTATATAACTTCCCAAAGTGCGCATGCTTAAGTTGAATCAAGCGGCTCGACAAGACGAATCCAACAAGCCCAAGATCGCCAAATTCTGACATCTTAAGGCACTCAAATACTCAATAAACACTTTATGATCAAGGGAACTGTTATGAGCCGTTCGATTAAACACTCCCAACTTGCTCTTAATCTTCTCACTATTTAGAAGTCATGTTACTCTCAAAAATTATAATAGGCCTCCCATTATTCACATAGAGAGGGGGGGAGCTAGGAGAAGAGAAAGAATTTGAGAGCTTGCTTGCGGCCAAATCAATCAACTTTCGCTCCGTTTGCGACAATCGTCAGAGTTCTTTCTCAACCACTGTTGAACTTTTTTCCTGTTCGTCGACCGCCAACAGACTTTCGCTCTTTCATCAACCACCTCCAGACTTTTGTCTAACTCTCCAATCTATGTAATTCCACTATAATCCAAATAAAATGAGTGAATCAAGCTTTGAAATTCATTCAAACTTGGTGAAAAATTCTTCATTTGGGCCAGGCCCTATGGTTTTTCCTTTTTGAGTTTTCAACGTAAAAAACTTATGGTGTTTTTCTCTCTCTCAAATATATGTTGGTGCACGAGAAATATATATATATATATATATATATTATATATATATATATAAATATATATTATTATATATATATATATATTTATTTGCGCTAAGATGCTTTATTCTCTAATTCTATCTGCCGCAATAATTTTTAGCCCACACCAAGATATTAATAATAAGAATGCTATTATGGTTTATTAAAATTTTAATAATTAATTTAAAATAAATATTTGATTGGATTGATATTAGGATATTATAGATTAAAATATTTTTTTGTTATGATTATTATAAAAAATTGGCTATAAAATAGAATTGAACATTAGTATTTAGCCATTACATTGAAAAAAATAATAATTTTATTGATATTAAATTAATTATTAAAGTTTTTAGAATATAACCAATAAGAGTCAAAAGTTATATTTTTTATCTTATATATATTTTTTAAAAATAATAATTATAAATACCCAAAATTTAAATAGCTAATATTGATCGCAAATTTGAATTAAAAAATTGTGAGAATATTTAATAAACAATAATCCATGCTAACTAAAAAAATTTCTGGTTCAGTCACAGTTAGCTCCCAACCAAGATCATATGGAGCTACATAGTATCCTAAGATTAGGGCCTCGTTTGATTCGACTTTCTTTTTTCTTTTTGTTTATAGACGGAGAAATTATTACATGCGGAGTCCGAACATAAAGTTACGTCTGAACTATATTAAAAACGTGACATAATGTGTATAAATTTATATATACTGTGTAGAATTATGTACATAATGTGTATATTATATATAAAAATTTGTATATATTATGTACATAATTTATAATTTATATATAATATATAAAATTTTATACACTATGTACAAAATCACATGTCACATTTTTATTGGGACTCTCCATTCCTTAACAATTGTTTCTAAAATTCTTAAAATTCTAAACTAAGGAGAGGAAGAAGCCTACATTCAAGTTCCATATCTTCCCTTCGCCTCGTCAAGCACGAAACGCATGGCTTCAGCTTATCATGCACCGCTCTACTTATCGTGCTCCTCACTCATGGCCAACGAACCCTCGGTCTCCCTTTCTCACCAACGTATCCAGACACACCTCCCAAATTCTTTTCTAACTGGCTCACGACCTATGGATGCATGCAGGACTCTGTACCATTTGACCGGATCGTTTCTCTCCGTTGAGGTGAAGAGGAGGAGAACAAATTTTAGTTCAATATCAGGGAAATTCTCTTGCTCGCTCGCAAATGGACGTAAGCTAGCTTTAAAGGAGCTTTTGATTTACCGAAAATCAAACCCCCAATATGGATTTCGCCCTTCTTTTAGGAATACGTGTTCTCTGTTGATGTCTACTGTTAGTTTTTTATTTCTAGATTTTCTTTTTTCCTTCCATTTATTGTGTTCTTTTGATTATAGTTTTCTTTATCTGCTTACTAGGGTTTTAATTCGATTGTGCCATTTGTTTTGGCTTGAATCTTGCCCCCAAAAAGGATCCGGGAAGTTACATTTATGTGTTTATTCCTCTCAAAATTTTCACTTGCATTTTGGATAGAGCCCACGAAGAGCTGGTTTTCATTAGTGAAAGTAAATTAACTGAGCCAAAGTGGTTCCACTCACTTTGAAGGTCTTTAAGGCAACTAATGAATTGAAATTTAAACTAACCAAAACTGGGAGCTTAGCAACTTTTTAAGAATAGAAGACACAATTTTACCATATATTTTCGTTATTATATTAGATCCATGGCATTAATTTGAAAGTATCTAATTTTAATTCATGTGAGTATTTTTTCTTAATTTCTTTTTTTCATATGAGGCAGGTAATAATGCTCTTAATATCTGAATTGCTTTCCAGCTATACTTGTCTATGGGGTATCCATGGGCAGTGCATGATGGTACCATCTATGTGGTTCTGTAAGGGGTTGATAAGCAACCTTATCCCTACATTGCACAGAGTTTGCTTTTGAAATTAGACACCATGAATTTTTATTGGTTGTAACAATAACCATTTTTTCTTTCTTAAACATCTTCTTTTGCTTTCTTTGTTTACGATTTTTTTTTTTTTAATATTTGCATTTTATTTCTTTTTTGAATCAAGCTTTTCACTTTAGAATTTTTTTTTTAAATGGTTTGAGGTCATGAGAAAAGCTCAATGGGAAATAGAAAAAAATTTTAGCATGGAAACACAATGTACAAGCATAGGAGTAAAATGACATACATTTATTTGAAGTACAATTGCAGTGATGAAGTTGTTAAATGTGGCGGAATTAGAATGAAGGAAAATTTTTTTGGTTCTTATAAGAATATTGCACTGTGTCAAAGTGCCTAAAGATGCGAAAGTGGAGATTCATGCTTACATGAATAAATTTACAATGTCAAAGCATTTGGCACAATGATAATATGATGATAGTGTAGATAGCAGATCTTACTATGATAGCAGGTTTAGTGGAAAAGATTCCTAGTTTTCTTTATCACAAGTATCAAATAGCGCTGCAAGGGAACCTGTAGACCAATATATAATGAATGTGAAGGATGAGAAGGGTGATGGTCTAAGGGTAGCCTATCGAATGTCTCCTCAAAACACAAGAAAGGGCTTATAGATGTGTTTATATGGACATTTTAATATTCTTATATAAAATGCATTCACAATTAATATGAGAACTTTCTCATCTTATGTCAACTTGATTCATTCTATAGGTTCCTATGACAGAGGCCTTAAACCTCTGTCCATTTATAAGCTTAGGATTTGGATATTATAGAAGAAATTGAATAACATTGAGAAAGTTATTGAATAGATCAAAAGAGCTTGGTCATAGGATAGAGTCATAATTGCGTCTGATGGTTGGTTTGAGACTAAAAATAGGAGGTTGATCAACATTCTAAATGACATAAAAAATTTTATGTCTAAAATCTATTGAAGAGTTAGATAATAAAAAGGATATTGATTTCTGGACTTATTGATGAGGTTATAGTGGAGATTGGAGAGCATTTAGCAGTCTAAGTTGTTATTGGAAATGCTAGTTCTTACAAGGCATCATGAAACAAATTTATGTAGAAGAGAAAACATACTTATTGAACTCCATGTGTTGTATATTGCATAGAATTAATCCTTGAAATTTGGATAGTTGCCCCAGCACATGAATGCCTTGACTAAAGCAAAAAAGATTAACGGGTTCATTTATAATCAAAGTTGGGTTTGGCTTTGATGAGGAAGGTTTCTAAGAAAGAGCTCTTTTATCTTGTAGCTTTTGGATTTGCCACGACATAAGCAGATTGGAACTCTTACAACTATATTCACCTCACAAAATGACACAATGGTCAAATTGTGTTTGTGCTAAAAGTTTCAAGGCAAAAAAAAAGAAGTGATAGGCTTCGGTTAAGTGTGACTTGTCCCCATTGTTTCTGTTTTAAGAAGGGTTGATGCAAAGATAAAGCCTGCAATGAGTTTCATTTTTAATACAATGGATGTGGCAAATGAGTTGATAGCATAGAACTTAGGAGGAGATGGGTGTAGCTATGAGATAAATTGGAAAATCATTGATGAGAAGTGGGAGCTTCAATTTCATTGGCATTTGCATATCATAGGTTATTATCTGAATCCTTAATATCAATATTATGAGAACATGTCTACTAATTCAGAGATCATATTTAATTTGTACCATTGTATGGATAGATTGATAGTTAACTGAGGATAAAAGTTGATCTTCAACTTGTAACATTAAAAAATTAAGAAAGATTATTTGGATTACAACAAGCCAAAGATATAGCATCAAAATATTCCCTAGGCATTTTTTAAAACTTATTGTTTAAGTTTCACCTAATTTCTATACTACATTAATTGTATATATATATATTTTTAAATTAATTGAATGGTCGATTAAATTTGGAGATGACACTCTAGAACTACAATGATTTGATATCGAAGTATTGGGTCTTACATGCTCATCAGTGGCGTGTGAACGATATTGGGCGAAGTTCTTATCAAGAGGAGAAATCAATTGACTACCTTAAAGATGAACTCATTTGTTTCTATTATGTATAGCAAGAGATTAAAGATAAATTTTTGAAGAAGACAACTTTTGAATATGATGAAGATCCATTAGTTTGTGATGATGTATCTTTAGATGGTTGAATGAGTTATGGAGGATGATAATAAGGTTATACAATCAAACTTTTCAAGCGGAAGATCTCAATATTGACTTCTTTGATGGAGGAAGGAGTAGCACCAACAAGTGTAACACAATTCAATAAAAAATTAACAAAAAAAATTATTATGAAAATTTAGTTAAATCAAAATAGTCATTGTTTGAAATTTTAATTAATGCTCTTATTAGTTGTTATTAATTAGGGAAGAGGAAGTTGATTTAGATTGAAGATGAGGAGGAAGATTGGGAGGATGCACCTGATTATAAGGGATTACAAAAAGTAATTCAGTATAATAATGATTGTATTGAATAAACGCGAAGTGATGATAGTGATGGAAAGTTTTGAATTTACAAATTATAAACTTAGTGGATTAGAATTTTTCTTACTGTTAATTTGGAATTGGGAGTTAACTTGTTGTTATCTATCTATCTATCTATATATTAATTCTAAAGCTTATGTAGTATAAGATTAGGACTAAGTTTAAGGCATATTTCTTATTTAGTATGCATGCATTCACCTAAAGGTGGTGCTTATGCGTTAGATCCAAGAGTTGCATATAATAGTATATGATTGGATATGACTGATCCTACTGATTTATTCATCTCAAAATGGTAAATTGAAATTATTGGAATATTTTCTCCTGGCTTTTTTTATGTGAAAGAACTTCTAATTGTATGTCATGTATTCAACCTAAAGGTGTTTACATGATGAGATATTTGGATTCCTTCTTATTGTTGTTCTAATTTATGGTTTTGGAGTACACAATTGCCTTATTTTATTTTATAATATTGCATTGAATTTGTTATTATCTTTTTGTTTCAATCATCTTTTCTGTCAAAAATGATATGACCATTGAAGTTTTGAATGGCTCAATTTTAAGACTAGAAAAGAGATGGAGTCTGTTATCATGATGCCATATAGAATTAGCAATGAATATTGATAAGCCGATAAATCCTATTATTGAGAGTTCTGTGGCTCAGAAAACGGCATGAGTTAGAGGTAAAATCCAATTGTACGTATCTATTGGTCATGAAGAGGTATATACATTAATATCTATCAAGAGAACTTCCCGAAGCATCTACTTCAAAGGAGTTTTTTACTACGATATCATATATTAATAAAATATCATCATGCATTGAAGGGTCCTTATTCCATGAGGTATGATGAGACAGGATGTGTCAGGGAGTATATCATCAAAATGGTTTACTATAAAACCACTAAAAGGCTCTTGATATCATTCTTCTTGATCCCTGTCCTGTGCACCAAGCTTTAAACACCCTTCCACCAAAATTTGGCTTAATTATGCTAATAATTCACAAGATGAAGCATGGAGTCTTAATTATCTTATCACAAGATGTGTTTATGAAGAAGACAAACTTAAGAATGAAAAGTCTAATAGAACTCTAACTGTTTACTAATCTTACCCTTAGAAGCTTAAGCAAAATACACTTGGAACAAATCTGGTCAACCTTCTGTAATAGGATTATAGGGGGTACCAGTGCTTTCAGCCTTCTGTAATAGGGGGCACCGGTTCTTTCATCAAGAAATATATTAAGTGTTTCCTCTGCACGAAGAAACATCATATGAATTTGAAGTGTCTAAAAAATAAGTCCTAGTTTGAGAAATGTGAGCCAGTAGGTAACGCTTAGGTTCTTATTTTGTATGAATCCAATTTAACTGAAGCTACATCTAGCATTGTTGTCTAGACAATGGTGCAACTAATCATGTGGATTTCATCATGTGGATTTTACGTTATAGGGATTCATAAGCCAGAGGAAGCCATATAAGGATGAATCCAAGCTCACTGTTGGCAACAATGAGGACGTGGACATAGAGCTTGTGAGAACAGTATGTTTGAATTTAAATTCTGGTTTTAAACTTTTTTAGAAATGGCGTATATATTCTCTCTTTTAGACAATTGACTTTATATTTCCTTTTTATGCTTTTATATGCCAAAGATATTATTATTTAAATAATTTATGCTTCAAAATTAGTTGGCCAATGTTATCCTTCGGTTTATGTATAATTTCTTTGGCTCCAAATGAGATTTATGCTCCCTCATAAATTATTGAAAATAATACTGCCTGAAGACCCTGCATAAAGGAAAGGTT